AATTGGTGAACCCTAAATTGGCAAGTCCAAAGGTAGACTGCTGCTGACTCATGTCCTCAAGAACCAATGTCAGGTTAGAAGAAGATAAACTGGAAACAAGCTTGAGAAAGCACAAGTTTTGCCAGAACATCCACATGTCACCTATGTGTGTGTATGCTTTCTGTCTCATATAGATTGCTTAAACTGTTAACACTAACAGTAAACTGAGGTGGAGGCAAGGGCAGAAGCAAGAGGCTTTCTGAGAAGGATGTTGGTGCTTAGTCCAGGCAAGAGGTGATGGTAATACTAAGTGGTCAGATTCCAGATATATTTTTATAAGAGAACCATCTAACTGACAGCTCATTCTTACAAATATCTGGGGATTGTATGTAGAAAATTTTGAAGACGTTCTGGTAAGAAGTAACCACTGTAAATATTTTGGTGTATAACCTTTCTAGGTTTTGTTGTGTATGCATCAATTTAGACACATGCACAATGCATTGTTTAAATAAACTTCAGTGAACATTTTTCTGCATCATTAGTTCAGTCTTTGTCACTACTACGTCATCTATATCTCAGTCCTCAACATTTTAGTAACTGTATAATGTTCTAGGATATTAATGAACTACAGTTTCTTTGCTTCCTTGTTATGTGCCATCAAGTTGCCTGCGACTCATAGTAACCCTGTGTACCTTACCCTAAGCTAATCTCATTGTCTCTGCAGACCTAATCCAATTTCTCCAATCACTGAGTAAATCCATTTCATCCTCTCCTATGCTGCCCCTCTACCCTTCCAAGCATGATGTCCCTTTCCAAGAATTGATCCCTCATGGCCACATACCCAAAGTATGTGAGAGAAAGAGCTTTAAAATCCTTGCCTCCAGGAAGCAGCCTAGTTTCACCCTCTCCAAGACAGACCTGTTCGTTCTTTTGGTGGTCCATGGTATATTCAGAATCCTTCTCCAGCACAATTCAAAGGCATGGATCCTTCCTCTATCATGCTTAGTTATTGTACAGCTCTCAGATTCATAGCAAGTAATTGTGAAGACCATGGCCTGAATTAGGTGCACCTTAGTCTCCAGACTGACATTGTTGCTCCTCAGTACTCTAGAGAGGTCCCTGACAGCAGACTTTCGCTATGCAATTCATCTTTTTATTTCCTAACTGTTGGTGCCATAAATGTTGATTCTGTAACCAAGCAAGCTGAAGTTATTAACAACTTTTGTCTCCTCTCCGTCTGTCATGAAGCTTCCAGTTGACCCAATGGTGAGAATCTTTGTTTTCTTGATGTTGAACTTCAATCCATATTGAAGACTGCAGTCCTTTACCTTCTGTAGCAAATGCATCATGTCCTCCTCAATTTCAGAAAGCACGGTTATGTCAGATTATTAATGAGTCTTCCTCCAATCCTGATGCCACATTTCCTCCTCATAAAGTTCAGGCTCCCGAATGATCTGTTCTGCATATGGATAGAAAAGGTACAGAGATGGTATGCATCCCTGACACACTCCTTTCCTGTTCCTGAACCATACAGTGTTTCCTTGCTCTGTTCTGACTACTGACTGCTTCCTAGGTTTTGCACGAGTGCAATTAAGTGTTCTGGAATCCGCCTTCTTCTCTATAGAATTTAACATGCCTCCAATTTTGTTGTTATTGATAGTATTTGTGAAGCCGTTCAAGTTTATGGGATAGCATCATTTTGTTGCATATAACCCCTTGAGTTTACAGCTCATTTCTGGTTTCAAGTAAAAGTATGTTTTGGCTGAATACTTTATTGGCTATATTTACTTTTTCCAAGTAAGTGAAATCATACACTACCTGTCCTTTTACAGCTAATTTAGTTTACTCAGTGTGCTTTCTCAGTTCACCGATGTTATGGCTTGCATCAGACTTTGTTTCTCTTTGTGACAGTAGTATTCCACTAAATGTATATACCACATTTAAAAAAAAATCCATTCATCTGTTTGACATTTTGATTTGTTTTTGTGTTTTGGCTTTTATGAGAAGTACTACAGTGAACACTGATTTCTGTTTTCATCCTTACCCTCTAGTCATCTGGCAGTACTATGTTGACCTTTTTTAAGAACTGCCAGATTTTTTCATTCCTGTCAACAATAAATGAAGGTTATGGTTTCTACACAGCTTTATTTATTTGTTGTGATTTTTAGTGAAAGTTTACAGAGAGCATGGATTTTCATTCACTCAGTGATACACATTTTCCCCTCCAAATTGACTTTTTAATTTGTCTTACTCATTTTAAATTGCTATCCACACAATGTCTTATCAGCCACTCCCATCAATTTTGGAGGAAGATTCATCAACATGCTTTATGCAGATGACACAGTCTTGTTTGCTGAAATGGAGGAAGACCTGAAGCACTTGCTGCAGAAGATCAAGGAATGCAGTCTTTAATATGGATTGAAGCTCAACATCAAGAAAGCAAATTGGCCACGGAGCCAGTTGGTAGCAACATGATAAATGGAGAAGAGATTGAGGTTGTTAACAATTTCAGCTTGCTTGGCTCCACAGTCAAAATTCTAGGCACCAACAGTCAAGAAATCAAAAGATGGATTGCATTGGGGAATATCTGCTATCAAAGACCTCTCCAGAGTGCTCAAGAGCAATAGTGTCAATGTAGAGATGAAAGTGCACTTGATCCAAGCCCTGTTCTTTGCAGTTACTTTATTTGCATCGGAGTATTGGACAGTGACTAAGGATGATAGAAAAAGAATCCATGCCTTTGAGTTGTGGTGCTGAAAAAGGGATTTGAACATACCATGAACCACCAAGAGAACAAATAGGTCTGTCTTAGAGATGGTGAAATCAAGCTCCTCCTTAAAGGCAAGGATTTTGAAGCTCCTTCACACGTACTTTGAGTGTGTTGCCAGCAGAAGCCAATCATGCTTAGAAGGGTGGAGAGACAGCACAGGAGAAAAAGAAGCTGGATGTGATTGATTGACACAGTGACTAGGGTAATGTGTCAGAGACTGTCAGATTGGTTCAAGATAGATCAGGGTCAGAGCTGTTGTACATATGGTTGCTGTGAGTTGCAAGTGACTTGACAGCACATAACAACAGTTGCTAACTAGGGAGCTCTGGTGGCCTACTCTATATGGCCTTGTGCTAGTAACTCAAAGACTGTGCCTTTCTAGTGGCTTGGATCCATTTGCGGCTCCATGGGAGAAAGGTGTGCAATCTCCTCCTCAGAATCCCAACAGAGGGCAACTGACTTATGAGTCAGTTCTGACTCAGTGGCAGTAAGAGGGAGAAGATTGCTAATGCCACCACTCTTCTGTCAATGTGCTGTGCTTTGATGGTTTACGTTACCCTGATTTTGGAACATATGCCAGTGGGATTTCAAAGTTGTCAATCATTTTATTTTACTTAGAATCACATCAACACCTATGATGGTAATAGTTTAGAAATCAAACATTGTGTTGTACTGGGCAAATTTATAGTCAAGGACCTCTTTAAAGTACCAAAGAGCAAGAATGTCAGTTTAAAGATGAAGGTCCACCTGACCCAAGTCATGATAGTTTCAGTGGCATCATATGCATCTGAAGTTTGCATTGAAGAAGGAAGAACTGATGCCTTCGGCAATACATAGTAAGGAGTTTTTTAGACTTTGTAGTTACATTTATCAGTAGTAATATTATATATAAATTTCTGTTGATAATTGCATGAAATACCAATATGATTTGTAAACCTTTAAAAAATAAATGATACTTTTGAATTGTAGTTGGAAAAGTGTATTAAATACCATGGTCTACCAAAAAAAGCAAACAAATCTGTCTTGGGAAAAGTGCATCTTGGGTACTTAGAGGCAAGGATGGTTAGGACTTCATCTCATATACTCTGAGCATGTTTTCAAGGAGATTCTAGTACTTGGAAAAAGGCATCATGCTGGGAAAAGTGGAGGGACAGTGTAAGAGAGAGTTCCTTGGTGAGACGGATTGACACAGTGACCACAGCTTGAGCATGGTGGAGATACTGAGGATGAGGCAGGATGGGGCAGTGTTCAATCTGTTGATCATACCATCACTTTGAGTGGTAGTCAACTCATTGGCACCTACAACAGCTAATGACGGCGTCTTTTCATCTAGTCGACATTGGCTATTTGAATGTCCTCTTTAATTAAAGGTCCATGTAAGGCCTTTGCCCATTTTTTTTGATTGGGTTCTTTGTTTTTTTTATCATTGTCTTCCTCACAATTTCAACCTAATAGTACACTGGCACAGAAGCAAAGGCATTATTAGGTGGACTGATAGATTAATTTCTCTATTATACTAAGAAGGGGAATGCAGCCTCTGGCTTCTTGAGGAGCGGCAGGCAGGTATGAGGGCTCCGGGCATTTGTGGTGCTCTTTTTGCCCCATGTTGGGGTTGGCAGAGCAGACTTGCCAGATGAACTGGGGGTCTGGGGCCCAGAGTTTGCCAGCATTTGGGCGTGCCAGGATAGTAAGATACTGAAAGGTCATGTCACGCCTGGGGTCCTGGGAGACTTAGTGTGAGCTGAGCGTGGCCTCTGGCTTCTTGAGGAACAGCAGGCTGATATGAGGGCTCCAGGCACTTGTGGGGTTCTTTTTGCCCCACGTGGATCCACTGTGAGATAGGCCTGAACTATCACTGTCTCTGATTGGTGGACCACAGGGATATTTTGAATTCTCTGTAGTTAGTGTCATTTTTTGGAAGCAGAAGTAGCATCCATTTCCATAATAGCTTGCCTCCAGAAAAAACCCTATGAGCCTGGAGAGGAAAGACACACAAGCATTGAGGACTCTCCTTCATAGGGTCGCTATGAGTCACCTGCCACTCGATGGCACTTAACAACAACAGCATACTAAGAAGGAAGTAAAACTATGTTGAGTTACTTATGTATTTGAAAATGTTTTCCACCATCTAGATTTAGTTTAGGGTGAAGAATTTGTAGAATGTTAGGGAGTCCAGTTTTAGTAATCAACATATTTATCATTTTAATGGCTCATTATGGATGCAGTAATGTCTCTTCTTTATTTTCTGTAGATTGCATCCATCTTTGCTTTTGCCACCTGTGGAGGTTTCAAGGGGAAAACAGAAATTCTAGTGCATTGCCCTAAAAATGACAATAAAACTGTCACAGCTACTTTTGGTTACCCATTCAGGTGAGTTACTTGTTTGCTTGTTTTTTGGTTTGGGTTTTTGTTGTTGTTGTTGTTGTTTACCAGCTCAATTTTACTTTCATTTTGACTTATTAAGAGGTGCAACAATGTGTTGATGGTGGAAGATAAAAAATACTAGGTTACATGGTTCATTTGTATAGGAGCCCTAGTTGTGCAGTGATTAAGTGCTTGACTGTTAACCGAAAGGTCAATGGTTTGAACCCATTGTGAGTGAAAAGTTTTCAGCTTTGGAGCTGTGTGGTAGTACTCCACTGTCCTGCAGGGTTTAGTAAATGATGAGTGCTATTCAGAATATTACACACAGACCAGTGCTTTCTGTAATGTTGACTGGTGTATGATAAGTATTGAAGAGTTAGCATTTAGAACATTTTAGACCACTTTGCCATTGTTTTGATATTTTCATTATATCAACCTACAACAGATTAGAAATTGGAAAAATAGAACGTAGACTTTACTCTCCCTCATCTTAGTATAAGAAACCCTGATGGTTCAGTGAATAGGTACTGTGTTCTAGCTAAAATATGAATTTCCCAGGTACTTAAATCTTAACTTGCTCTAAGACTCAATTTTCTTCTCTAGTAAATTGGAAATAACATTTTTAAAGGATGTTTTGATAAATACATTCTTATTTAAAAGATAAACAGCAAGTGCTTATTCATCATTGCCTCTTTATCTCTCGTCTTTTCTCCTTTAGCTACTAGCGTATTTAATGATAAGTACTTTTACATTCATATTTATAGGTTTGGAAAATTAAAGACAGTGTGAAGTTAGCTGCTAATCTAGGGTTAAAATATTAATCATTGTTATAATTGGCACTTCTGGTGCTAGTTAAGGAGTCTGTTTTCTAGAATAGAATATACTGTCTCAGTTTGTAGACGGATATGTTATTGTTGATTGCTTTGAGTTGATCATGACTCATGCATAAAGATAATATCTGAGTTTGAAAGTCTTTAATTAAGTCTGTACTCAGTTTTATAAAAAAACAGTTTCCAAGTATAATTTATGGATATTTGGTATAAAAATTTCAATGCATTTAAATTTTTAAACTTTATTTTTCCCCTAAAGAAAATGTTTGAGTGTATTTGTTTTTTAAAAATGCCTTTTCAGTATTAAATATTATGAGAATGTAGTAACCCCATGGATTTATTATTTGAGCCTTTCTTTGTTTAATAGGTTGAATCAGGCATCATTTCAGGATGCTCCAGCAGTAAATGTGTGTGGAATAAAATGGAATGAATACGTTCTTATAGGAGATTACTCTTCCTCTGCACAATTCTATGTTACATTTGCAGTCTTTGTCTTCCTGTACTGCATTGCAGCTCTTCTACTTTACGTTGGTTATACAAACCTCTATCGGGATAGTCGGAAACTTCCCATGATTGTAAGTGATTGTCGTCTTTTTATATAAAAACAATTTCAGCTAAGTATAAGTTCTATTTTAATTAAAATTTTTTTTATACTGGAAATAGAATTGTTTGGCATAAGTAATTTTTATTTATTTGACCTGTATTTACCATAAGATTGAACTTCAACCTCTTAAATTCAGCCTTATTGTTTTAGCCTGTTTACAGTACTTTCTATTCTCATTGTAAAGGTTTGTTTGTTTTTAGCTGTATTTTAACCTGGAAGAGAACTCAAGTATATGCAGAAGCATTAGGTTAGATGTAGCAGAGAAATTACGTAGATTTTCTTTGTTGTTGTGTACCATGGAGACAGAACTGACTCATTGCTGACCCTCCAGCGGGTTTTCAGAGGCAGTTAATCGCACAAAAGGAGATTGTTCATCTTTTTCTCGCAGAGCATCTGCTAGATTTGAACCTTGTTCCTTTGGATTAGCAGCACAATTTACCACTAAGCCACCGAGCTGCCTTTTTTTAAATGACTCTAAATAATACTTTTGGTTTATGGAATTCCCGGCCATGCTAGTAATGTTTCTAATTTTTTTGTCATTCATCTTTTTCTTCAGAGGGCCTCCTTTATGCTTCTGCAATATCTCACTAACTTCATAGATTTATCAGCTATTATCAAACAATGGCTGGCAGACCAAATCTGACTTGCTGTGTGATTTTTTTTCCTTTTTCTTTTTTAAATGTCTCTTGGAGTATTGGCTTTGGCTGTTTTCATGCTGCATTGACAGAGTTAAGTAATTGTAACAGGAGGGGGAAAGTAAAATCTGATCCTTTCCAGAAAAAGTTTGCTGACTCCTGGTCTATATTCTTAAACACTTTATTTTGAAATCTGACTCAGATAATTCTTATATTGAGCAGTGGTAACATCTGTGCATTATTTTTAAATATTGTGGCACCTACAAAGGATTTTAATTTAAAATATTGGTACCAAGCTTATCTTCAAGCTATTGAACTAGAAATACAAATAATAATCTGAAATGTAGTTAGTAGAATTTGCTCCAGATTACTGGTGGCAAATCCAGAGATAAGCTATAGTTTTAAGCTAGACCTCCATTACCAAAGAATAATTAGAACTCACTTTTAGTGCCATTAACTTGAAAGAAGAATGGAGATAGTTTTGGTGTCATTTACTTCTGAAAAACACTGACATCTACTAAATGTTTGTATAGCTACTTTAAGGGAAACTTTCAAGGCTGCTTAGATGTGAAGGACTTGCTAAATAAGATAACAGATTTTATTTATTTTTAATTTTTGCTGCCTGGATTATAAGCATGCAAATGGTAAGTATGAAATCAGCAATCTTTCTTCATTTAGATTTGCTCAGAATCTCTTTAAGTGCACAAGAGATTTCAGAGACTCTCAAGCCAGATATTATCATAAAGTATTTCGTAGTTGTTAGGTGACTTTCAGAAAGGTAGATATCATTATCTTAATTTGCAGTGCTTATTCAATAGCAGCTATGTGGTAAGAGTCCTAACTTCTGCAGACTTCTTAGGGAAAACCATAGTTAAAATGTAACTAGTTTAACCAGAGAGAGAACTTTTTAAAATTTTTTTAAGTTTTTCAAATATTTTGAATATTCACTTAATCTTAAATATTAAAATCCACTTAATTCTGAGTGAACACGTATTTCTTGTCATATGTGAGATAATTATAATTGGGTGGCATCCACTTCCTAAACATGCCTCTGGGAACTCTATGAACTTGGGCAAATGTCAGTAATTATAGAAAGGCTTAAGGTCTTTTGTTCATAGGGTCACTATGAGTTGTGCTTGACTCAATGGCAATCAACAACAACCAACAAAAACTTTTTACATTAGGGGAGCTCTGGTGGCCTAGTGGCAAGGAGCTGCAACTACAATCCCAGAGGCACACGGTTCAAATCCACCAGATGCTCTGCCGGGAAAAGGAGGGACAATCTCCTCCTGTACCAGTCAGGTCTGATTTGACGGTACAATCACACAAGGAAAAAAAAACTTTTTACATTAAATTTAGCAGTAACTCTTTATTGCATTTTATGCAATAAACTTTAAAATTGCTCTATTTTTTTAAAGCCGCATTCAGCTCTTTTAGGGAAGGACTTTTCCATCTAAAATTGATCAAGTTGCATTGTTCAGAAGGTCGAAAGTCATTTTCTACCTCAGAGTATCAATTTAGTGGCCAAAAAGGAGATTTAGATACTTGCAACTTTTAATGTAATCAGCGATAGCACTGATCTTTAAGTGCTCTTTGTTTAAGATGGCCTAATATTGTAGAGACATTCTCAATTAGGAATTGAAGTATTTCCTTATAGAATCTTTAATGTTGGAGATGATGTGCAGAGTCAGAAATAACATAAAATGAAATCAGTTAGTGATGGGATATCTGAAAAACCTGTTATAAAGTATGTTCTTGGAAGGACCAGGGCTACCATAGGCATCTGATGCTGTGCCCTGCAGTGCCAAGTGGCACTGCTCGGGTGTTGTCAGTGTGTCTAGAGTTGTTCAGTGCTTGGGTCTAAGAAGGATTGAAGTAATTTTTAGACGGCAAGTTTTCCTGTGCTTTCCCACGCAAGGATTACTTTGTAAATAATTTTTCAAAAGAGCATCTGCTCATTTGGTTGGTTGTTTTTGTTGAAACTATACACAGCAAAAGATACCCAATTCAGCTGTTTCTATTTGTACATTTCAGTGGCATTGATGACATTTTCTTCAAGTTGTGTATCTAGTCTAACCCTCCTTTTCTAAGTTGTTTAATAGAAACTGTTAGGGGAGCTCTGGTGGCCTAGTGGCAAGAAGCTGCAACTACAATCCCAGAGGCTCACGGTTCAAATCCACCAGATGCTCTGCCGGGAAAAGGAGGGACAATCTCCTCCTGTACCAGTCAGATCTGATTTGACAGTACACTCACACAAAAATTAAAAAAAAAAAGAAACTGTTAATGTCCCCCTGTCATTCTCATTTAATCTTTCAAATGGCTGTTGTCACTTTGATCCCATATAGATAGATCTTAAAGGACTATAATGCTTGAGTGAGGCAGGCATGCTTTACTAGTTAAGCTGAATTATTGTTTTGTTTTAAAGATTAGCTCAGGGAAAAGTAAAGTACCTGCTCTTTGAAATATAAGCATGTCATACTTTAAGCTGTGAGTGAAGTGAATTTTAAGAGCATGATCAAAAAAAGAAAAAAAAATCCAGCAGTGTGTTTTCCTGTCTACTAGGATTTTGGAAGGATGAAAATTATGAGACTATGACATTTATTGGGTCAGAGTTAAGAGTCTTACCCGAAGAGAACTTGTTTATTATGTGATAACCTTATACTATTTAAACAGTTTTCTCAAAATTACTATATTTCTAGCAAATGCTTACAGCGACAAAAAAGGAAAGGATTCTCCCACAATCAGAAAAGGTTAATCTGTAATGTTCCTGTATTTTTTCCTTTGATGTACATTTTTTAAGTGCCTGTGGCAGTGAAAAGCACATGCAAAATGCAAATATCCTATATTTGCAACATTTTTATAGTGTATAAGATTGCCATGACAAAATAATGTCTAAAAAATTGTACAGTTCATTGGCCTTCTAATACAAAAGCATGCATTAAGCACCTACGTGGACTAGTTATATGAGCCCAACTTCTTTAGCTCAAAAAGCATATTATTCTTTGTTTTAATGAGTAATGAAAAGTTTATTGGCAAAAGTAATTAAAAACAAATCAACTTTACATTAGAAACAAAAACTTCAATGATAAACATAAAAACTTATTTCTGGGAGGGAGCAATATTTTTTTTATGCATAAGCATAAGGAACTATATAGCCTTCAGTGTATTCATTGTGCTCAAGAGTATCAGAAAAGATTTGGAATATACATTGTTCCCAGTTTGGCTGTTAACTTTGAGGGCTAGTCAAAGAAGATAGTTGTCATTAATATGAAGGAAAGTAAAACAAAGCAGGTCTTAAAGTTTATATCAATACATCCATAAAGTGTTCTTTCTTTCCAGGAGAATATACTGAGTAAAGAAAAGTAAAAGGAATTTTTTTTCCTGATCTTATTAGCTCGTTAAGAAGCCTTTCAAAATAATATAACATTCAGCCCTATCCTTTGAAATGAACTAAACAGCAAAAAATTTAGTAGAAAAATCACTAATGTCAAGATACCTTGAGGGAAAAGAATTTCTTTCTGGTTTTTTTTTGGTTTTTTGATTTTATAATGAGCATTTGTTTTTATGAATTAAAAAGAGCCAGGCCAGTTTGGTTGTATATTTTTTGCCATTTTATTGAGAAAAATTTCACTAGTTAGTTTTGCTAGGACAGTACAGGGAAGCCAGAGGACAGAAGTTGAGATTATATGCAAGGATCTTAGTGAAGACCTTGGAATATAAACAGGTTAAGTAGGGAAATGATAGCACTTGAGGTTGAAAGATAGTGGAAAGATAGTTGTTGTTGATTGCCATGGAGTCGAGCACAACTTATAGCGACCTTATGAACAAAAGGTCTGAAGCCTTTCTTTAAATATCGTCATTTCTCAAAGTTCATAGAGTTTCCAGAGGCATGTTGTTTATGAAGTGGATGCCACTCCTGCTTCCAGACCAGTCTTAAACTGGGAGCTCCACCAAACACTGTCCACCGTGGGTGACCGTTACGGCTTTTGACATCCCAGTGGCACAAGGTTCAACATCACAGCAACCCCAGGATACCTCAGTACAGCATATTGACAGAAGAGTGCTGTACCATTTAGAAGAATGTTCCTCCAAAATATAACAACAACCTCCCCAACATCTTGTTGACTCTAAACATGAGGCTTAAATAAAACACAACCAATATAGTATGTTGTTGTTGTTATGTGCTGTTGAGTCACTTGCGTATAGCCACCCCATGCACAGCAGCTCTCTGAACCCTTCCTTGTCCTGAGCAGTCTCACTAATTCTTACACACCAACCCCTACCGCCCCAGATACTGTATCAATCCATCTCATCCGGGGTCATCCTTTCCTGTACTGTCCCTCCACCCTTCCAAGCATGATGTCCTTAAGGACCAGTCTCTCATGGCCATGTGCCCAAAGTATGCAAGACAGAACTTCAAAATCCTGGCCTCCAAGGATAAGGTTTTATATCTGGAGAGGACAGTTTTACAGATTGAACTGCCAGAGAGATAGAGAAGTAATGACTGGAGCATAAGATGATTAAAATAGAGATTATGGAATACTCAGTTATTGGTGATGATCAAGTATAAGTAATAAGCTAGGAACCAATGGCTGAGGTAAATTATGACTCTGACTCCTAGTAACCCTAGAAGACAGGGTGGAACCGATACAGAGTTTCCAGTCTATAATCTTCACAGGAGAACATTACCACATTTTCTGTAGAGCAGCTGCTGGGTTTGAACCTCCTACCTTTTGGACCAACCGCTTATCAGTGTGCCACCAGAGCTGTTTAATTAGGCTAACTGAAAACCTCCAACTCATTGCTATTGAGTTGGAGCCACTTCATAACTGAGCGTCCATTGAGTTTCTAAGTCTGTATTGCACAGTAGAGATTGCCCATCTTTTTCCCCTAGAAAATGTGACCTTGAGGCTACCTAGCTCCCTAATTATGAGTTGTTGTTAATCATTGGAACTGATCAATAACAAACCCTCTGGAGGGTTTTGGTTTCCAGAGACAGTTGATTACATTGGGGGGATATTGCCCATTTTTCTCCCCTGGAGCTGCTGGTAGGTTTGAACCACGTGCCTTCAGGATTTCAGAGCAGCTTCTTGCCACTAGGCCACCAGAGCTCCTGTTTATGGGTTATTATTGTTGTTGTGTACTGTAGAGTCAGAACTGATCCGTAGCTGACCCTTGGCAGGCCCTCTGGCAGGTTTTCAGAGGCAGTTAATTGCATGGAAGGAGATTGCTATCTTTCTCCTTGGAGCAGCTGGTAGATTCGAACTGCTTGCCTTTGTGATTGCAGTACAGCTTCTTATCCCTAGTCCACCAGAGCTGCAGGTGATGGGCAGAGCTAGATAAAATTTGTTGTCTAGTATACAATTTCAGGCTACTAAGAGGATGATTGATTCTTTCTTACTGTTGTATTTGAGGCACTATGCTAGTAATAATACTTAACAGATCTTTCTAGGTTAACTGTGGCTTTTTAAAAAAAAAAAAGTCTTTTGTGAAGGCCATTTTTTTTTCAGTACTGTAAAATTAAATATCATTTTAATTATTTCATTTTGTGTGTAAAACTTAGTATTTTTTTAATTAACTGTTACTTAACTCCTATTTATGTTTGCTTTAGGACTTTGTTATCACTCTTGTTGCCACATTTTTGTGGTTGGTGAGCACTTCAGCTTGGGCTAAAGCTCTTACAGATATTAAAGTAGCTACTGGTCACAACATAATTCAGGAACTTGAGCCTTGTAAGCATCCAGGAGTGAACTGCAGTTTCGGCTCGGTGAGCAGTATGGGATCCCTAAATGTATCTGTGGTATGTATGCATTTTTTTTTTCACTTACTAAGAAAAACTTATCAGTAATTTTAAAAGGCTTTCTTTGAAAAAAAGTAAATTGGATTAATATACTATTTTTATACATTTTTACTAAGAGCTGTCAGAATGTTAATAACTGTTTAACACCCATGAGAATAGCAGTCAGGAAGTGTATTTCACTGTACGGATCGTCAGCGAAACACCTCCTATTAGTGTTAAAAAGCAAAAATGGCACTTCGTGAGGCTAAGGTGTGCCTTACCCATGCCATGATATTTTTTCATTTGTCTCACATATATGGAAAGCTAGACAATAAATAAGACCAAAGAAGAATTGATGACTTCGAATTCTGTGGTTGGCATAGAATATTATTAAGTAATTAAATATTCTGTGGACTGTCAAAAGAACAGGCAGTTCTGTTTTAGAAGTGCATCGAGAATGCTCCTTGAAGTGAGAATGGTTAGAGACCTCATCTCTCTCATTCTGAGCATGTTATCAAGAGGTCCCTGGAGAAGAACATCGTGCTTGGTAAAGTAGAAGGTCAGCAAGAATCAGGAAGAGCCTTACAGAGGTTTGTTGACATGGTGGCTGCGATGGTGAGTGCACACATAGTAAAGATCACAAAGATGGCACAAGTCTGGTCATTGCTTTGTTGTGTTGGACATCAAGTGGCTTTGAGTTGGAATGGACGCAACTGCACCAACAACTAACACCTTTAAAATATTAAGAAAAATGTGTTGAATAAATTATTGTGAGGCATTTGAATACAATCATCATTGAATCTTACTTTAATGAAAATGGGGTAGATGGGACTTCACCTGAAAGTACTAAAAAAAAAAAAACCCAGACACCAACACCTTTTAAGACTATATGCCCAGCATTTCCCTAGGCATTATCAGTCAACAATCCTAAGAGGAATCTGGAAGATGTAACTCAGAAGGTAGCTCTCTGAAGATGACAAAACTACTAAATGGTAAACCAAGGTTTGAACCCAGATCCCACTTAAAAGTCTTTCTAAATCTGTGTATGTGAAAATAATTCAATTATGATTTTGTAAAGAGATTTTATATATATATATATATATATATATATATAAAATGTTGATTATTTATTCTGCCAATTTACCAACATTGTATACTATTAAATATGTACTTCAAGAATATAATGTAGACCACCATTAAGTCTGAGTGTGTTTTATGCTTAAAGAGGTCTGCTATCATTTCAAGAAAATATTTTCTCAGTACATAAAGATAGCACTGTCTTAATAAAGCACTTCACCCAGAATATGTTTGATAACTTTGTAGTTTAAAAGTCAGTTTTTGTCATTTATATTGACAGTAATATGAGGTGGACCATTTCAGCAGTAATATTTTATGTAAAGACATAAAGCATTTAGTCTTCAGTTTATATGGTAATACTCTCACCAACCATTCTTCATAAACTAATAGTATGCTTACGTTTATAAAGGACTCTATTTTAAAAAGGTTTGATTCATTCATTGTCATGGAGTTGGAACCGACTGACCATGACTGACCTTCCAGCAGGTTTCTGAGGCTGAGAACCGTACAGGAGAAGAGTGCCCATTTTTCTCTTGAGGAGCAGCTGGCCAATAAAAACCAAGAGCAGGGCCTTTGGATTAGCAATCAGCTCACTACAGACTCGGCCACCAGAGCTCCCTATTGAAAAGGGTTAGTTTCAGTTTATTCATCCTGAAGCTTTCTTTCATATTTCAATATTTTTATCTAAGAAGATTATCTTCTGGGTTGATTCATGGTGATGTGAAATAAAGCTTTTCTGACTCCTCTGACTGCAGCTGTTGAAATAGGGGAGAATGGCAGTAGAAAGGAAAGGAGGGAAATAAAAGTCAACAAGGACCTTCTATAACAATTCAGAATGGGAGAAAAGTAAAATCCCCAGAAGAAGGAAACACAGATTCATGTTTTTGTGCACCCTGAAATCACAGTCTAAATTACAAAGTATTAAAATAAAAATTGTTTCTTAAAATTTTTCTCATCGCTTCAGAAATATAATGTACATATAAAAACAAAATTTCTTTTCGTCATGGTACCAACAAGACAAATTGCATTGGGAAAGTCTGCTGTCAAGACCTTTCCAAAGTACTGAAGAGCAACAATGTCAGTCTGAAGACTAAGGGGTGCCTGATACAGGCCATGGTCTTTGCAGTTACTTGCTATGCATCAGAGAGCTGGACAGTGACTAGTGATGAATAGAAGGAGAGTTGATGCCTTGGAGCTGTGGTGCTGGAGAAGAGTATTGAATATACCATGGATTACTAGGAAAACAAACAAGTTCATCCTGGAGAGTGTGAAGCCAGGCTGCCCTTTGGAGGCAAAGATTTTGAAGCTCCGTCTGACATACTTTGGACATGTTGCAAGGGGGAATCTGTCCTTTGAGAGGAATGTCATACTTGGAAGGGTGGAGGGACAGCTCAAGAGAGGAAGACCCTCGATGAGATGGATTGATTCCATCACTGGCTTAATGGAGATAGGTATGTCAGAGACAAAAAGATTGGCAAGGGATAGACCAGGGTTTAGGGCTGTTGTACATAGGGCCACTGTGAGTCACAGGTGACTCGATAGCACGTAACAGCAACAACAATAATTATATAGGTTACAGATTTAGTAGGTTAGCTTTATTTCCTTGTCAGTAAGTCAAATTTTGGTACATTGATATATCATTCTTTTTATTATTTCACTTTGTATGTAGTAGTAAATATTTGATAAAATAATAGTGTAAAACCACCTATGGCTATTGAGTTGATTCTGACTTAGAATAACCTGGTAGGACAGGGTAGAATGGGCTCATTGAAACAGTTACCCTTTTAAGTAGTAGCCTGGTACTTTAACCATTGCAGCACCTCGGTCTGTCCGGGTATACTGCCTGAAAATCTTTAAAGAAAACTGGAATGTGAATGCACGTTTAATTAAGTGGGTAGTATATTTCGTATTTCTTTTCTCTTTCATAGATCTTTGGATTTTTGAATATGATTCTTTGGGGAGGAAATGCTTGGTTTGTATACAAGGAGACCAGTTTACACAGTCCATCAAATACTTCTACTTCCCATGGCCAAGGAAATATCCCACCTGCTGCTGGAATATAATTAAATGGAGAAATACACTGTGTAAAATACATGTCTATATTATGACCTGTTGACAACATCTTGAGAAGCAATTATTTGTTTCTATAATAAATAATTTTTCAATTAATTGGTGGGTTTAAACTTTTACTATCTTTTTACATAAAGCTTGTGCCTTTCCTTGAAATTTAAGATGTAAATGTATTCTCTCATGTAAATTTTAACTTCAGGGGCCTATTGTGAGATGATACATCTTTTTAAGTGAACAATATTTCTTCACTGAATTCTTTGCCTTCCAAAGTGTTTACACCTTAAGCCTTAACATATAT